GCCACGTATCTGTCATCACCAAGATTGTCTCAGCTTGGGAACTTAGGTATGAGAAGGGAAGGTTATAAATTGAGCACCCCCACTCACCTGATCAAAGATCAGCCTCTACTAATCATGATGTAATTCTTATCTACATTATATGCTCTTGTTCCGATTATTAGGCTAACTTTACTATGTGATGCGCACATAAGTATAAACTAATTTGAAAAAATTGAAACATTTTGATTCATGTTTGTTTTGAAAATTGTTTAAAATATGTACCACTTAAAAAAGTGATCGCATATGAACATTACTCAAATTACTCCAATTCAAGAAATTAGCCTTCATCCACAAGCATTCAAGCAGATATAGCATTTAAGCAATTAGCCTCACGCCAAGCATGTTAGACATGGCAATAATCACACGCATGCGATATGCTAAAGCACGAAAATACTCACCTCGTACTCCAAGGCAAGCCAAAAGAAAAAGAGTTAGAAAACATGCATGTTCCTAACTAATGCAACATGACTAATGCAACACATGCGATATGCAACTAACAGGCTCGACTACTAATTATGACATGTGAGTCAATTTGATAGCATGCGGTTTAAGAACCTTTTCAAAGAAGTATTGAAATGACAATGCATTGTTAGAATAATGAACCAAGCCTCAATGCATGCAAGACAAGTGGATGCAAACATGGAGTATGCTAAAAGGAAAGTGATGTTCTAAAACTAACCATCATAAGCAAGTAAATAAAAGGGAAAAAGATGTAGGGTTGGAAGACATACACATTATTACAAGTTTGGCCCTCGCGTAAGAGGGTTCGAATGAATAAACTAGCTAAACTAATAACTACAAATTAACTAACTATTACAAACCAAAATGAAGTAAATTAACTAAACTAGCTAATTAACTAATTATCATAACAACGAATTTAACTAACTATTTTAGTTAATTAAATAAATACGACACATAATTAACTAGCTTCGTTTAAGCATAACACTAATACTATTACAACATCACTTCACGGATCCCGAGGATCGAGGGAGAGCTCATGCAGGGATGTGAATTTCCACTCGATAATGCTCTCCATTCCGCTACTGGAATGCCTCTGTTGCATAGTCACAGTTGGAAAAATGTACTGTTTTTCACCTTAGCTTCTGCTCCGTTCTCTTGGAAAAAGGCACTACCTGCCTTGAAAAAGTGACTGACAACCCAAAAGTAGTGGCTGGCAGGCCACTAATAGTGGGTTGCCATCCAGAAAAAGTGGCCTGCCAGCCACTAGTGCTGGTTCTTTCCTACAGCAACAGAGGACAAACAGAGCACAAACCAGAGTATTCCTAGGGGATGTTTGTCCACCCTACCTCTTTTTATCATCAAACAGGTTAAAAGAAAGGAAGGCTTGATTCACAAATCATCATTCGGCGCAATTTCATTACGTGAGGACTTATGAACCAAGGGACAATTCAATAAATGCACAATTTAAAGACTCTCAAAAAAACCCCTATCATGGATTGATCAAGATAAGTGGTTGAAATTGACTCTTGAACCGTTTACATCACTAGTGAGTATGAAAAGACTCAATGGGTTCAATTAACATTCGATTGAACCCAAGTTGATTTTAATATCTTGCATCACTTTTAGTCCTAATTTTATTACTTCATTTTAATTACCAGCCATTCATTAATTCATTGAGTCCAAAAGTGAGCTTTAAGTCCTCTAATGGAAAGGAGTACCAAACCAAGTGTTGTTTTAGGCAAAAAAGAAGTGTCATGCGTTTGGTAATGAACCCCCAAAGGGATTAAACCATTAAGCACAATACCTCAATCTCAAGCTTAAACAAACAACTAGTTTGAAAGAAAAAGCCAAGAAATGAGGGAGGTTGCAGAGGTGATTAGAGATGCATACAAGTATGGAAAGCTTGAAATAAACACTATCAACTCAAATAGGTTGGTGGCTAAGGCGTAAACCACCAAGCCTATGAGGACTATTACACTATAAACATGCTATATAAAGCTCAAATATAATGAACAACTAAAAATAGTCCTAAACCAGTGATAAAACAATCCAAAAAAGTGCTAGAATTAAGCTAAAAATAGCTAAAACAATAAGCTAAAACATGGAGCAAGTTAAGCTAGTAAGCAAGCACAAGGAGGGGAGGCTAACCCCTCCATTTTTGGGATTTCAAAACATGATTTTTTCCACTGAAAAACCTCTAGAAATCAGTGGTAAAAAGCTCAAAAAAAGATAATGAGAAGGTGGGAAACTCAAGGGCAAAGGCCTTAGAAACAAGGCTCAAAGAAGGGCTATCAACCCCTCTAGCTTAAATGGCCTTAAACCACAAGTTTTAGCCCAAAAATTCAGTGTAAAAACAATCAAAAAAACAATCCAAAAATAGTAGAAAGATGGCAAATAAAGAAGAGAAACAAGCTAAGAATTATACCTCTTGAAGAGAGATATCCTTTTTGAGTTGCAAACTAACAATTACACACCCTCAAGAGGTAAATGCAAGCTCAAAAACACCTCAGCACAAAAACTGCAAGGTTTGGTTTAGAGTGTATAGGCAAAGAGTGAAGAACTTGCAAGAGAGAGAGAGAGAATTGTAAAGAAAGAGAGAGAGAGAGAGAGAAAATTTTGCTCCAAATTTTTCTAACCTTTACAACAAGAGGGGAGGTCCTCTATATATAGAAAAACATGAGACCTCCTTAGAAATATCCATATAGACACGTATGGACTGATGCATTCACCTGTGGAAACAACTATCACAGTAGGCAAAAATATCTGAAAAAACACACAGGTGGTCAATAACCCACTAATAGTGGACGACATACCACATTATTGGCCGGTAGTCCACGCAAGTGGGCCTGTAGGTCTCAAGATGTGTAGGCTTGAAAAAACTGTTATTTTGGTCCAAAAACAAGGCAAGAGATTCATAGGGTTTTGAGGCTCAAAACTGAGGCATTCTGTTGAGGACTTCGAACATTTGACAAGCATATACAAATTCATCATTGGGTGCGCAATCAG